TACCTTGGGGGTCGTTAAGAAGAGACTGGACAAGCACTAATCTGACCCCAGTGCTCTTTTCAGGCCCAGGGCAGGGGGTCAGACTCGATCTACTGAGATCCTTTCTGACCCTAACAAATATGAAACACCTAAGGGGTGCCAGGGGCAGTCCTCCTCAGCCAGTCTGCAGTCAAACCAGCTGTTCCTATCCACCCCTGGACAGCATAGATGGCTACTGTTCAATGGAGGAAACTGTCCCTATACATCTAAATCTAGAAGATGCCTTGAGGCTTTTATGGGACCCCTCCCCCAAGCATAAGACAAGGCCATGCTGCATTGTGTTTAATTTCCATAGGAGATGCCAGATTTTCTCCCAGGTTTCTCCCACCTGCATCATGCAGGATTGTTCTATCACCCCATTTGTGTTTGTACTACAACCCACCTGAGGGGGTTCTTCATAGACAGACTCATCTGGTGGTTCCTCGTATATATCTTCCTCTTCCACTTGTGCCTGAGAAATGGCGACGCTTTGATGGTAACTGGTGTCCTTCCCAGAAGAGTCACCTGGAAGGATATGTAGAGTAATTCACCAAGTCAAACCAACTTTCCCCTTCCATCAGAACTGTACAGCATACATCTGTCCAAACTCATGGCTGAGAAGACAATATACTATTAAAGGGTCATTTATCAACAGCAAGAAACCCACCCTACTCTCTACTTAGTGACATGCTCTGCAAAGCCACCTCTAAGACCTACCGTAATCCTACACTTAATTTTCAGGTCTTTTCCCTTACTTGCATGCTCCTCCTCCCCCAAACTCTAGCTCCCTATACTCGGGAAATTACTTCCTTCTCTCCTGCTTCTGATGGGGGCCTGGTGAATGCAGGCATGAGTAACTTTGCAAAACGATTGTTTTAGACTTTTTCCTGCCCCCCAGTAAAAGGCAAAAGTTGGGGAAACCTAGACATGGATTCATAGGAGAGATGCAAGGAAAAGGGTGCCTTGGGGTTATGCTCAGTACTTTGTGGGGGGAGAGAGTAGAAGTTTTGAAGAGAGGTAGAAAAACTATCATCTATGCAACTCGGCTTTTTCAGATTGCAGCATTATTAACTACTAAAAATTTTTAAAGCTTGGATTCAGCATCTACATGCAGGGTTGCAACTAACTTTTGTTAGCAGCAGCCTAGATCAGTGATTCAGGTAAGGTTCAACGCAGCAGACAGGAAAAAAAAAACTAAAACAGGAGATCACTTGGACCACAGCAGCCCCTAGTGATAAATGCCTGCTAACTACAACTTGCACAGTGGGGATGACTCCTTGGGTTCATTTGAGCGGAGTGTTATACAGTAAAGGTTAAACAGCTGTGAAATGAGAAAGGGTTGAGGGCTCAGGCTGATTTTCAACACTAACCCTTCAGGGCATTTTGTCCCGTACTATTTATCTGGCACCTTCCCTCCAAAAACTTCAGATAAACTTACAACAGACCCATTAAAATGTTTTGGTTGGTTGTTTTTCTGGAAAAAAATAGCACCTTGGAGTATACCCCTGGGTGTCATTTAACTATTATCAGGTGCAGCCAGGACAAGCTGATTAGGAAGAATGAACTTCCCACTCCTGTTAGTTAACACTTACATTACAGTAGCCACTGCATGTTCAAAGTCCTGAACAGCTGCTTGATTCAAGTGCTGTACAAAAAAATAGCCTCACCCAAACTTTATACACTGTGCTATTTAGATCATATTAAACACCCTTACATGGGAATGAATACTGTATACAATGCAGAGGAGTTAATGTTCTTATGAGGGACTTTGTACACCCTGCGTTTGTTCCTGAACAATGCATTAGCACAGCTTCCAAGCAGATTATTCCCTCTGAGCACAAAATGAGGGAAGAGAAAGAAAACTGGAGGAAGTGTCACCTGCATGTTTTTACCTAATTTATGTTTTAACCTTTGCTGCCATGATCATGGGATTGCTTGTGCCTGCAAACACTATGCCTGGTACAATTTATAGGACTGAGCCTAGGAAGAAAACACCCCAAGACAAGGGATTGTCACACATTTGCAGAGTGTCCTACACACTAGAACAGCTACATAAAACTGGGCCCTGAACACTGACCATCTGGTCAAAATATCCACTACTCAAATGTAGATGATCAAGTGTTCTTTTCTCCAGGAAAGGCTTTTTAGCTCAGCAAAAGCTATTCACAAGCCTAGCTGCCATCTGAGTTATGGGTAAGCAAAGCAAGGTGGGTTTGCTTCTGCTTCTCCAACATGAGTTGAAAACATCTTCTTTACCACTTCACCTGACCTGCAACATGAGGTAAAGCATGCCAAGTGTCCAGCCTCAAGGCAAATTCTTCAAGATACTATGGCCCTGTGAAGACAGGATGAACCTGAAAGTTTTAACACCACCTTAAATATTAACTTGGATTAGAGTCAAAGCTCCAGACCCCAGCAGAGTCCATTGAGCACTGAGGTGGAAAAGCTTCCCCCTTACAGGCATGGTATAAAACAGAGCAATATACCTGGCCCAGGCACTGAGGAGGCTGGAGGCATCTCCTGAGCAGCAAACGGATGAGATTCTTGCACAGCTGAATGGACCGGGGAAGGAGGCGTCTGGACAGGACTGCTCTCTTTCTGCAGGAAGGGGCTCCGTAGTTTGCCTGAGGAAGGAAGTCAGAAATACACAAGGTACTCCAAGCAAACAAGGTCTACTTGAGAGAGTGGGAAGAGCCTCCTCCCAACCTCTGTAGTTAACCCTTTCAAATATGCACTGCAGCAGTTGATTACCAAGGAGTGGTACTGCTCTGAGAAGTTCATGGGAAAGAAGTTTCATCCTTACTTGGATGAAACTCCCTCAGGCCTACAGATTCTACTGGCAAATACATTCTTACTGCTTCCACTTCCCAGAGTCCTACTGAACCAGCAGAGCTTGGGCAAACCTACAGATACACCTTTAACAGAACTGCTTACTGAATTTTAAGCAATGGATGCCAATAGCAACGGGACTGCAGAGAGTGCTCACGAGGGGTCAAAGACAAGGGTCTGATCTATGTTGCAGGTCAATCATTTCTGAGGAGCAATTAAGAAAAAGGAAGGACTCATCCATTTTATTCTACCCTACCATTCAACTCTGAGTTCGATCCAGGTCTCCCATTAACTCCTGAGCAAATCAGTCCTACAAGCCTGTCTACCATAGCACCAGAACTGTAGACGTACAAAGCAAACTGGGGTGTCCCTAGCTCACCACAACATGAAGACACCACAGTACTAGGGCTCACAAAAACCTTTCTAAGCGATCAATCAACTACCAAACCACACATGTGCCTTGGGACCATGGGAGCAGAAGGGATCTCACAGGTCAGAGTCTAGCCCCTGGTCTGCAGACACTAACATTTCACATGCACATTTAAGACTAAGGAAGGTCAGTGAAGAGTCATTTCCTGCCATTTCTTCCACAGCTTCAGAGCTTTCTGCAAGCATAGTTGAAGAACCTCAAGCTGTACAGGCACCAGTTAAAGCAAGTTTCAGTCTGCTCTCCAAACAGTCCTGTGACTATGTCACAGGAAACAATTAGACACATTGTTATATAATTGAAAACTTAAAATAGGTAGTGCTGAGTTCCTGACAAGTCCCGCCAGGCTTCTTCATTCAGAGAACACACCATTTCTGTCAAGGGAAACACCAAGGCTGTCAACCACATCTTTCGTTACATTATTTCAGCACACAGGACAGATTGTTTAAAGAATGAAGCAGCTAGTCACTCACCATCAATGTGCAGCCCCTAGGCTTTATTTACTGCACCCCATCCAAATCTCCTCCATGAAAGGCTATTTCCTTCCTTGTGAGGCAATCTACAGCACCCATTGCCATCACACACTAGCATAACTCACTTCTTCACAATACCCCTAAGAAGGGGTATTCAAAGCAACAATAGAGACATACAATCATAGAAGATTAGGGCTGGAAGGGACCTGAGAAGATCATCTAGTCCAACCCCCTGCTTAAAAGCAGGACCATTCCCAACGAGATCCTAGCCAAGGCTTTGTTAAGCTGGGTCTTAAGAGTCTCCAAGGATGGAGAGTCCACCACCTCTCTGGGTCACCTGTCCCAACCCTCCAAGTGAGAAAATTCTTCTTAATACCTAACCTAAACTTCCCTTGCAGCTTGAGACCATTGCTCCTTGTTTTGTCATCTGCCACCGCTGAGAACAGTCCAGCTTCATCCTCTTTGTAACCACCCTTCAGGGAGTTGAAGGCTGCTATTAAATCCCACCTCAGTCTCTCTCTTCTGCAGACTAAATAAGCCCAGGTCCCTCAGCCTCTCCTCAGTCATGTGCCCCAGCCCCCTCACCATTTTCACTGCCCTCAACAAGGACAAGTGCAAAGTCCTGCATTTAGGACAGAAGAATCCCATGCACTGCTACAGGCATGGGACCAACTGGCTAAGCAGCAGCTCTGCAGAAAAAGCACCTGGGGGTTGCAGTGGTCCTTTTCTGTTGAACCTCATGAGATTTCTTGTGGCCCAATCCCCTGATTTGTTTAGGTCTCTCTGAATCCTAGCCCTACCCTCCAGCTTATCTACTACTCCCTGCCCGATCTTGGTGTCATCCACACATTTTCTGAGGGTGTACTCCATCCCATCTTCTAGTTCATTAATGAAGATATTGAACAAAATCAGCTCCTGGGCTGACCCTGGCACTCCACTAGATACTAGCCACCAACTAGACAGAGCCATTGATCACTACCTATCAAGCCCAATGATCCAGCCAGCTTTCTATGCTCAACCCCATGCTTCCTCAGCATGCTTGCAAGGCTGCTGTGGGAGACCATATCAAAAGCCTTGATAAAGTCAACATATATTACTTCCACTGCTTTCCCCATATCCACAGAGCCAGTAATCTCATCACAGAAGGCAATCAGGTTGGTCAGGCATGATTTGCCAATGATGAATCTATGCTGACTATTCCTGATCACTTTTTCCAAGGGCTTAGAAATGGATTCCTTAAGGATTTGCTCCATGATTTTTCCTGGGACCGAGGTGAAGGTCACTGGTCTGTAGCTCCCTGGATCCTCCTTCTTCCCTTTCTGAAATTTGGGTACTATATTTGCCCTTCTCCAGTTCCATGGGACCTTCCCCGATTGCCATGAGTTTTCAAAGATAATGGCCAGTGGCTCTGCAATCACATCAGCTAACTCCCTCACCACCCTCAGATGCACTGCATCCAGCCCTGTGGACTTGTACACATCCAGCTTTTCTAAATAGTCCATAACTTGTTCTTTCACTACTAAGGGCTACTCTTGCCTTCTCCCCAAATTACATTGCCCTGTGCAGTAGTCTGGAAGCTGACCTTGCCTATGAAGACCGAGGTAAGAAGAGGCATTATTTCAGCCTTTTCCTCATCATCTGTCACTAGGTTGCCTCCCCCATTCAGTAAGGGACTTGCATGTTCCTTGATCTTCCTCGTTACTGACATACTTGTAGAAACCCTTCACATCCCTTGCTAGCTGCAAATCCAGTTGTGCTTTGGCCTTCCTGACTTCATCCCTGTATGCCTGAGCAATGTTCTTATACTCCTCTCTATCTGTCATCTATCCAAACTTCATATGTCTAGTTCAAGTCAGTTTTCCTTGTACCTCCCTCTCTAAAAATAGCATTGGTGGTTTTGGACTAGTAACCACTTCAATACAGTGGAGACAACATTTTCCATTGCTCCATTAAGGTCATGTCTACACAAGGAAGTCTACTTGGAGTCAGTCAGAACACAGATTTCAAATAGAACACCTATTCCTCATCAACTCCCTGTATGAATTCTTAATTTGTAAATCGGAGTAACTGAGGCCAAATTGGATTAATCCATTAGCAGAAGGAATTAAGCACTTCCCAGATAAGACCAGGAAAAGAACATCCACACAGAGCTCATCAGGTATAACTGCTTTGGTGAGGCACTTATTTTTCCAACTCTTAGGTACCACACAATGTTGTTTCTTATGGGGTATGTTTACAACCGGCATTGAAGGCATACCCCAGGGTAGATGAATTACAGAAGTTGACTAGATCACCACATGGCTTTCTGCGTAGAATCAGATTTTAAAGCCAAAAAGCCATGTGCAAATATTAGTCACCAAGCATGGAAAAAATCTCATCCTCTGCTGTTTAAGTCTGGCACAGTTGTTAGCAAGAGCCTTATACTGGGAAACATTGGCAAACAGTTCTAGACGTTGCTCTGCCTATAGTGCAAGGCACCGAGGGTGCAATAAGAGTATTTTCAGTACTTAGCTTGCTTAGGCAGGATCTCACTGCTGCCTTTAGGTGTGCAACTTGAGTGCTATCCCAGATATGATGGCAAACCCTTCCATATAATAACTCCAAGCTTTCTGCACATATGCATTTTTTCCTTATGCTCCATTAACCTGGCACTGGAAAATACCTTCCCCAAGAGGCACCATAACTCTTGAATCTAGGAGCCAATCTAACCCCACTGCATACCTGGCTGAGAACAGACAGCTGTTGTTTCTGCAGACATGGACCTTTCCTTCTGCCGGAAGATGTCTCGTGGGTTCACAGATCTTTGTGCTATAAGTGATGCTGCTTCCTGTGATGGAAGAAGGACACATACCTTATTCCAGTTGAAACAAAGTTACCTATCCAAATGGAAGCATGGGACAGTATGGAGATTGAGAAGCAATTTAGTCTCATGCCTCTACAATGCAAGAGGATGTTTTGAGATCAGAGTGTAATAATAAGCAGTCATGCAACACCCTAGGATCACTCAGTGTTACTGATTCCCCTTCCCTGGAGTAGCTGGGGAGGACAAAAAACAGCCTAGAAAGATTGTTCCTTCCTGCAAAAAGATAGCAGTCAGTATTCCAAGCCCCAAAGAGAGCCAGTTTAAATCACCGTTATGGCCCAGCATGAAGAAGGCTTCTGAGAAAATAGATTAAGGTGGCAGGATGCAAAATATTTACAACACAATGGTGCCAAGACTCATGTACAGCATATGTAGAAGTGGCAAGAAGAGCATGCTTTGCATAACAGTTCCCATGACCACAGCTTAGTGTCTGCTGATAGGCACAAACAGTAGATGCATCTGAGCTTCCTCCCTCACCTACCTGAGCTTTCTCCACAGACTCGCTCCTTCGGAAACCCCTCCTTTGTCTGGCCTCGTACTCTTCTTCCTGCTCCTTCTGCAGCATGAGACAACCCCTTTACCCTCACAGCAAGTCACATAGCTAGTCAGGAACCCCTTTGCTTGGCTCCTACGGCCACAGCCCCCTACCACTAAGTAAACTTGGCTTCTTCCAACCCCAGAGGCATGGGAACAAGGGACAGACACTGAAAGCATGCAGGACAGTAAACAGCGAGCCAGCCAAGTTCTGGAGAAAGAGGCTACACCTCCCACAGCACCCTATGGGAAGTGTTTTGACCAAGCCAGTCTGTCAAAGCTCCTAATCAAGTGGGAGTGCTGGAGGGAGTGGCATCAGTTACCTTCCTGATTCTTAGCCCCATCATGCATGACAACTCAGTATCATCAGTGTAACCTGGAGAGGAACCATGTTCCCGATAGCACCAGGGCTGGTTAGGTTGGTGCCTGTATCTGGAGCTCCCACCAGTGCAGTCCATACAATACTACTCTAGGACAATGCAACTGTTGGGGGTGGGGGGATGGGAAATCGAGGTTCTCCCTGCATTTCTGCAAGGTTCATATGTAACAGGCCATGGGAATCAGTAATCCTCAAAACTCACCCATTGCTGCTTCTCCTTGTCTCTGTTCTGCACTTCCTGCTGCTGCTGGAATTTCCTGCAGTTATCAAATGACAGACTGTGGTTAAACAATAACCAGGCTGAGCCATTCCCTCCCTCTCCAGGGCCAAGAAACCCAGCTGGCCTGGATTCTCTAGCTCTCTGCTGCTGGGCCCTAGCCACAGACACCCTAGCTGTGGGATACTGACCAACTGGTCATGGCAAGTCACGCCTGACCAACCTGACTGCCTTCTATGATGATGTGACTGGCTCTGTGGATGTGGAAAGACCAGTGGATGTGATGCATCTTGATTTTAGCAAGACTTTTGATACAGTCTCCTACATCATTCTCCTGGGCAAGTCAAGGCAGTTTATAATAGACTGTAAAGTGGATAGAAAACTGGCTGGAGCATTGGGCTCAGAGGGTAGTGATCAACAGGTCGATGTCTAGTTGGCAGCCAGTATCAAGTGGAGTGCCCCAGGGGTAGGTCCTGGGGCTGGTTTTGTTCAATGTCTTCATCAACCTGGAAGATGGCATAGAGTGCACCTTCAGCAAGCTTGCAGATGACACCAAACTAGGGGGAGCAGTAGATAAGCTGGAGGGTAGGGCTAGGATTCAGAGTGACCTAGACAAATTGGATGACTGGGCCAAAAGAAATCTCATGAGGTTCAACAAGGACAAGTGCAAAGTCCTGCACTTAAGACGGAACAATCCCATGCACCAGTACAGGCTGGGGGCTGACTGGCTGGGCAGCAGCTCTGCAGAAAAGGACCTGGAGATGACAGTGGACAATAAGTTGAATATGAGCCAGCAGTGTCCCCTTGTTACCAAGAAGGCTAATGGCACCCTGGGCTGCATTGGTAGGTTTGTTGCCATCAGGGCAAGAGAAGTAATTATGCTCTTTTATAAAGCACTGGTGAGGCCACATCTGGAGTATTGTGTTCAGTTTTGGGCTCCCCACCACAGAAAGGATGTGGACAAAATTGGAGAGAAACCAGTGGAAGGCAACACAAATGGTGAGGGGGACTGGGGTACATGACTTCTGAGGACAGGCTGAGGAAGTTGGGCTTATTTAGTCTAGTCTAAAGAAGAGGAAACTGAGAAGGGATTTAATAGCAGCCTTCAACTAGCTGAAGGCGGGGGGGTGGGGGCATTGAAAGAGGATGGAGCTAGACTGTTCTCGGTGGTAACAGATGACAGAATAAGGAGCAATAGTCCCAAGCTGCAAGGGAAGTTTAGGTTTGGTATGAGGAAGAATTTTCTCACTAGGAGGGTAGTAAAACACTGGAACAGGTTACCCAGAGAAGTGGTAGAAGCTCCACTCCTGGAAGTAAGACCTGGCTAGACAAAGCTTTGGCTGAGATGATCTAGTTAGAGACGGTCCTGCCTTGAGGAGGGGGTTGGACTAGATGATTTCCTGAGGTCCCTTCCAACCCTCGTTTTCTATTATTCTATACTGCTCTGCCTACCATGTTGCAAAACTACAGTTCCACACTGGCAATCTACGGTTTTAGAGAACCTCTCCCCAATAACACAAACAAGCCTTTCTTTGCCAAGGCTCCAAGCAGTAGACCCCCAGCCCAGAACTCCTGTGACACTCCTAAACCATGAACACCTTCTTGCCAGAAGGAAAGGGCACCTTTAAGAGGTTTAAAACCTACCCCAAATCACACTGCGACCTCACACTAAAAGGTTTAATGGTGAAGAATGCTATAAGCATATAATGCTATAAGCTATAAGCATATAATACTATAAGCTCCGCACACAGAGCCCAGGAAAAAAGGAAGGAAACAGTTGCATGCCCCAACCTCAACCTCAGCTACTTTCCTTTTGCTGCCCACAGGGCCCTTAGCCACCCCCTCATGTTTACTATTCAGGAAGTCAAACTCCAGGCCTAGTTAATGGGATATAAATTCTCATGGGATGTCATGGCCTTGATTAACTGCATTGCCAAAAGATTTGTCCATGTTTTGTATTAGGGTGCATCGCTGAAGTGAGAGGGAGGGTCAAACCAACGATGGCTGAAAAAGCATTTATTGTAGCATTTAGGAAGCTACCTGTGCATTCGAGATCTGTGGTGTCAGCCCTGGTTCTGGACTTGGCAGTTGCTTCTAATTACCCATCCGAGGTATGCATGAAGCTGGATGTTAGGGTAGTACTTGGAAAGGCAAGGGTTCACGGAGGGCTGTGACCCCATACACCCCTTATCTGCCACGGCATCTACTATAGGGGTCTGCAGCATATCATGCTAACATACTCAGCATGCACAGAAGCACAGCAGAACCATGCAGACAAAGAGGAGAATGGCATAGAGAGTGCAAGAAGTGCACCACATGGGAACCATCTTCTGTGCCTGAGCTCTGTAACAATGTTGGTGGTGGCAGTGGACAAGGAGCTGTAGTCCTCTGAGGAAAATGTGAGTGTTGCAGTCATACTGCAGGTCCAGTAAGTTCTGTCAGAGGTGCTCTAAGAGAAAGCAGCTCCCCTAGGCAGAGGGGCAGACTGCCCAGATATGTCCCTACTCCTGGCTGGGGACAGGACCACATGAAGACTCACAGGTGAAGCCGCCCAACAGTCAGAGCTTGTTATGGTACCATTGAGGCAGCAGCTTTGCCATCTGGGACCTTCCAGTGAATTGCCAAAGCAGTAATCCCATTCAATAACTCACCAGGCCCTTCAGATTAGGTGTTACAATTTGAACTCTGCCCTCAAACCTTTAGAAAGTTTAATGCTGTACCGCTCCCAGTACAACTACCGGATGTTGGCATTATGGAGAAGCAGGGCACAGTGGTGCATTCGGAAGGACCCTCCAATGCAATTGGAGACCTGTGGATTGAGGGTGGGTTGTATATTTGTCCCAAGAGCAAGTGTGTGGTGGTGAACAGCATGAGCACACAGAAGCAGGGGCAGAGACCAGGCTAGACAAGAACCACTGCCTGAATAGAGACTTCCTGGAATTGCAGTCAGGAAATGCACCTGAGAAACTGAACTGATAGCAAATGCTACTATGCATGCACAGAACAAATCTGCAACTCCCTGGGACCAGCTCAGCAAAGTTGGTTTGCCTCCTAGCCAATAGCAATGGGGGAAGCCAGGGCTGATGGGCAGGATCAGGAGACACTCAAGTCTGAGTGGGATGGGCAACGGAACAGTCTCTCAAGGTCAGGTTGAGTTGGTTATATATTCCTCAGCCCTCCCAAGCAGTACTGTCAGCCTAACCGCACCTTGGGCTGTAAAGAACAAAAGCAGGACAGAAGCAGCTCCAAGAAGGAAGCTGGAAGGCTATTAGAGCTTCTCTGGGCAAAGAAGAGACTCACTTCTGAGCATCGATCTCACTGGCTCGCTCCTTAAACCTTTGCTCGCGCCCAGCTGCTTCCTGCAGCTCCCGCTCCCGGTGCTCTCTCTCCAGCTGCTGGCGCTCCTCTGCTGCTCGCCTCTTCTCCTCTAGCCGCCGGTTCTCTTCATCTTTCTGTAGAAAGGAAAGAGACCCCACACCAGCTTTGGTTTAATGTCCAATGAGCATGGATGAGTGTGACCCCACCTCTGCACCTCTTGTCATGTCAAATGGCAACAGCACTGTCTCCCAGATTGCCCTGTTTCTGTTAGGTCAGCGTCTAAATGAGGAGCCACAGGGCTTGGATCAGACAAGGACAGGAAAGCATGGAGCACTTTGATAAGCACATTTCCTTTGCAACATCCCTTCTCTTCAAGGGCACCTGCTCAAGTCTGCTTGTTCAGTTCAGGGACCCTAAGGACATATCAGGTTCTTCTCTGCTGCCATATGCAGCACACCCACTTGCACCTTCTGGAGCCATCCAGGACACAGTTCACCGTCTGATTAGATATGGCCCCGGCTACAGCCAACTCACCACCTCCACACTGCTTCTTGGCATTTAGAGTGGAAATGGATACCTGGAATAGCTCCAAGAGACCACAGCCACCTGCCCGATTGAGAAACAGAACCCAGGAGTCCTCTGGTCTATGCATTGGGTCCCTGTCAAGAAATCTCCATGGGATTAACCCTAGTAACTGAAGACAAACCTCCAAGTTCATCAGCACAGCCTTCCACAATAGCTATGTTCAACTGCAGCTGTGAACTAGCTGCCCTCACAGGAGACCAGAAGGGAAGATAACATCACAAAGCTCAGCCTGCTCAGAACCCAATGCCAGCTTCCCTTCAGCTTCCTCTCAAAGCTCTTTCCACACACATTAGTTGTCAAGCTAGTCATCTCTGACACTGGGAAAAGCAAAGCTATTAGCAATTAAGCACTGGGATGCTTCCATATCCAGAGGCAGCACTGCACAGAATTCACCTAGAGTGGCACGGAAGGACAAGAAGCCAGATAGAAACTGGCTTAGATTCAGAAATGTGCAAGGCTCCTGCTTTTTCTCAAAACACAAGAAATCTATTTCCAACCCACATGTGCCTGTATTTTGGGTTCACATTGCATACAAGGACTCCTCTGTACAGATCCAAAAGGGACTTTGTGAAGAGAGAACTAGAGGACCTTTTCTAGTCACTTCTGTTGATTGTGAGCCATCAGCCCCAGCAGAAACAGTCCTCCCCATGCCTTCAATCTGGTCAACACTGGGCAAGAAATGCAGCCTCCAGAAGAAGGCAGGCCACAGGCAAGCAGAGAACAACCGAGATAAAAACCCAAGCCCCCGAGCCCAATCCAGCCTCATCTCAGCGATCAAAACAACTCACCTCTGCTTTGGCCCAGAAGTTGTCTTTATTGACTCTCTTGATTTCAGACATTGCGTTTGTCTTCTGGTACACGGAGCCCTGGAGGAAAGTAACAAGATATATACAGCTGATAAACAGCCTCTGTATACTGGGAAACTGGTGCTCAGCAACTAGTCACAGACTGGCAACCCTGCCCAGTGCCACTCTTTCAGACTTCTGCCTGGTCACCTGCTGATACAAGCTGCACAACAGAATGATGAAGCACCTGGAACTGGCTCAATTCTCCCAACAGCAGACAGGCACCCAAGAAGGAAGTCCAGCGGTTTATAAAAACCACGTAATAGCCCTGACAAGCCAGAGGCTGAAGACTGGCTCAAATAAGGAGACAGGAAGCAGTCATCTGCAACTTGCATTTCATCTACATAAAACTGAGAGAATGAGGTGGAGAAACTGCCCAAAAGGAAGAGGTTAGAAAGCAAATTACACACACACTCCTCAGATTGAGTTGTCATCTATATTTATACAGACCAAGCCCACCCCATGTAATGGGAGCTGTAGAATTGAGTGCTAACCTTAAAATAATCCCTCAACACCAAGAGAAAGTGGGGAAAAAAGATACAGATGTGACGAAATAGTATTAAGAGAAGAGTTCAGAAGGTTACGTACCACCAAGTGCCTAAGCAAGGCATTAGGGTCAAATTGTTACCTACCTTAAAGTGTCTATAACCAAGGTGTCACAGCATCTACAGGTGTGCAGAGGTCCCTTTCAAGGGTACTTTTGTGCGTCTCAATGTTAGCACTATTAGGTGTGCAAACCTGATCCATAAGATACACCCAGGGATCTCAAACAGGAATCTATTGTGTCAAAAACATTCTGACCTGCTAGGGGCTTTGAATTCTTTGCAACAGAACTGTACTATTTTCCTGTAGTCAAAAAAGCAAATGAAACTAAAAGCTGGCATTGAGGGGTGTCTTGAGCCTCAAGAAGATTGAGAAGCACTGGTCTGTATCATTTATGGTGTTTTGATGGCTCTTGTAGTACACCATATGCAAGGCCTGGTTTGGAAACCAAAGTGCTGATGTGCAAGACGTCTGCATGTTCATTTGGTATTTGTGCTGCATCAGCAAAGAAAAATTTTTCAACATTTTTTCTACAAGAGGCATTAGGCATCCTTAACCCAAAGTAGTCAAAAACCTTTTGGCCAAGCTATACACTGGGGATATATAGGAGATCTCGGGCCAAGTTCCAAAGAGTCCTTGCTCTGAAATCCAAAGCAGCTGCTCCAACCAGGGTAGTGGCTAGCTGGTTCTGGGGACAGAGACAGCCAGCTAAGAAATTGCTCTCCTGGCCCCAAAAAAAACCTTTTCAAAATCAGCACTGAAACACTTCAATAGGAAAAAAAAAAAAAAGGACGGTTGATATTTGCTTACCAACTCTGCTGTAAACATTTAAAAAGCAATTAGTTTTGATTTACAATGAACTTGTGGCTGCATTAATTGCAATTATTCATTAACCTTCAATTTTGCCACTGTTCATGGACATGTGAACTCAAGCTTCATGCAAGGGGCACTTTATACTTTCACGTGTTGTGGTAGAGACTGGAGCTGCATGGATTATTTGACTTCCTTTTTCCTTGGTGGGGTGGGAACAACCATGTCATAAGTCCATACCTGCCTTTCACCACTCATGGGGTAGAACATTTCCACACCACCCATATTGTTTAAATATTACGAAGACCACCTCTCTCCCATCTCCACTCATGGCTCTGATGATGGACAGGAGTTACGTTGTCTAACAAAGTGTGTAAGCCCAACTGAAGCAGAAGCTGGTCTCCTATTATGTCCCACACCAGTCAGTCAGTCAGCTCCAGAGAAGACAACACCACACAGAATGGTCTTGGGGAGTACCACAGCTAGTAAGACCAAGAGCACCAGCTTCTCCACTCATTTCATCCCAGCAAGAAAAGGGTTATACCAAGTACTCCAGCAGCCCACTCCACTGCCCAGCTGAATTAGTTCTCCAACCCTGGAGTCCTGGCTCTGTGAGATCCATCCATCTCCTGGGAAACTCACCACTGGAGCCTGCGGGCCCGAGTCCTGGAACTTGCTAGATTCTCTATGGAAGTTGTAGTTTGCACCGGAAGCCTTGGCAACCTTCTCCATGATGGACTCAGGTTCCACATCCTCTTCTGCCCGAGCATTAATCGTTACATGGGCACCCTGAAAAGAAGCAGCAGCACCATTGGAACATGTCACTGGGGCCTGACAAAGTATCCCACAGCAGCAAGGGAGGTGGGATGGCAAGATGATCACCTTGAGAGGGGAGGTGTTTCTGAGACAGGCAGCTCTATCCATTCACTTGCAGTAGCTGTGTACAAGGACAGACACAGTCATTAGGAACTGCCCAGAGGGAGGTTTGGCTTGAGGGAAGCTTTAATTAGCACATCCAACTGGCCCGTCAGTCCCCTTACTCTAGCTCCCGATGAGGCCAAGCTCACCTTTTTGCTCGAGAGACCCGGGCTGGGACCTAGCTGAAGTCTCCAGATTCCACCTTAACATAGAACAGCAAGTATAAAGGGAGCAGACTGAAATAAATAGCCACACATCCTGTCTGTGACTCCGGCCCTCTAAACCCCTTTAAGTAATGCCCTGATTTGTTAAATGGCTCCTCATTTGTTTCCTACGACAGAAAACAAGCAGCTTAAACTATTAGCTCATACAATGCACCCTAAAGGCTAGTCCTATAATCTGATACTTAAATAACAAGATTAGAGAGATAGGGTGTTGGCAGCCTCTCCTTCCTGTGTGGTGTCTCATCTTTCCATTGCTTTTTAACAGTGGAAGGTTACTATGCCAAAAGCCCCTTATAAACATAGGGTTGTTCTACAACCACTGGGTATTTGTCAGAAACAAGGCACAACAGGATGCACAACAGGTTGGCACTGCAGGTGGCTCACACCTTTTGGTGGAGTAAGCAGGGCCTTTTCATGCAACACCCTGTTGTGATGTCTTGTTCCCTTACAGCTCTGGGAAAGTCAGAAAGGTAATAGGGGAGCAGCTGGAGAACTGCAAGGCTCCCTCAGAGCCAGCACTTCCCAGAAGGAAGGGCAAGAAAGCCAGAGCTGCAGATTGCAACAACAGAAAGGGAGGGTGAGATGGGGTATTTCTTTCCAAGCTTTGGTGGCCACCAGGCAACACTTCTCTCTCTTTGAAGACACATGCATCTGTGGGCATCAGAGCATCTCACGGGCAACACATTAACATCAAAACAGGTTATGGACCAGAGGTCTAGGAAAGAATAAAAGGGAAAAACTGTCTGTACCTTTAAGAAGTTTGCTACAGTGCTGACATGGTTGGCACAAGCTCCTTTTCTCACATCATTCACACCTTCACCAGTCTGCAAAGAGATAGCAGTCAGTACTCACAGTTAGGGGAGTTCATATTAAAGCCTACCTTTTGTACCAGGGCAACACCCAGATAAAGGTCCCGCAAAGCTGAAGGCCACTATGGTCAACATCACTAGGGCTAAGGGAGAGAGGCCTCGTGCCACATAGTGGTGCGTGACCATTCCAAGTGGCCATTTTGGGGATCCTGTGGCTCAACAGATGCCTGCAAATGCAGGTGAAGCCCTCCCAGTGCCATGTGCCCATAATTTTAGTGTTAAGGGAGCTAGGAACTTTACATACCCAGTTGATGAGAACATATTTGGGCAGGCCAGAGTTGGGATCCTTCACCCGGCAGAAAGCATACATCACCTTCCCACTGTTGAGCTCCTCCACCATTTCCTCCAGGCCACCATCTACACCATCACCACACCAGGGAGAAAAAGGAAGAGAAACAGGACATCAAAACTGACCCAACCATCCCAGGTTTAAGTTTGGGGGATGGAAGCCAACTAGAACCCTGCCTGCCAGGCTTGGCAAAGCAGCCAGCTGAAAAGAAAAGAACAAAACCCAGCCATCGGTTGCTTTCATTAACAGCAGTGTTTCCATGAAACAGGACCCATCTGAGCTTCTACTTACTGCCTCTTCTGATCCCCTGTTTTATTTATTAGCAATTCAAATGAAGGCACCAATAGCAAAGGCCCTAGGTGAGCTAATAAGGATATAAATGAACACAATTCAAACAAACCTCTGCTCATACTTCCCCAGGAGCTCATCCTCTAAGCCACCTGGCTCCTTCTTTTAAGATGCCTTCCACCCTACCAGACAGGTTTCTTTTGCAGCACATCCTCAAAGTTATCGAAAAAAGCCCAGGTCTGGTAAGCAGTGGGGCAGGGGAGCACACAAGTCCCAGTGGCCTCACCCTGCCTAGCTGCCCTCTCTCTTTTGGTATGAGGTGTTAGGACTGAAAACTAACTATAGCAATAGCTTGTGAGGAGCAATGCTTTAGATTGGCAGATTCCTTTTATGGTGTTCACATCCTAGACCAAGAGGCAGCCAGAACAAGCCACAGCACTTGGGTCCCATGCTCCCCACAGGATGCATGACCACCTTCCTGTATTGCAATGGCCTAATCGCCAAAGGAAGCCATGCAATGCCTGCAGCTGAAAGGGTAGCCGTTTCCCAGTCCCATGCAGTACAAAGCTGACTGGGTTACTACTTTGATACCACATGATGCTGGAGAAGGAGAGGCAGGGGGAAGGGGGAGTCCAATCATCAGCATCAGCTAATTAGCTGTAGACACACCTATGGAAAGGGAGAAATGCCACCACCTCTTCTAGCTGCTTTCTTTAGTCCACCACCTCCTTGGCTTCATCTGATTTGCATTGCAGCCAGTTTGTTCTCACTTTCCCCCTAGTCTCAGTTAGACATTGCCACCAGTTTCTCTTTCTCAAAGAGTTCTTCTGATCAAGTGGATAACCTGATCAAGCAGTCTCTGCAGACTGCCCTATGGTTGTGTAAAGTTGTAAAATCCTTATACAAGGACTTCATTTGTTTGATTATGGGCAGTCCCAGCCTCAGCAAGAGTTCTCCGTTTACATCCATGCCACTTTGGCTCAAGTTCATAGTGAAGCCCTCAGCACAAAGGAAACCAAGTGGCAACTATTTGCATGTCACAACAGCTTTCACAGCATCATTAAACACCTTCACATGGTGAGGGGGAGTCAAATGAAAAGTCAGTTCTCCATAAAACAGATGCAAAAGTATCTGTAACTTGCAAGGTACTTCTTTGCAAGCAGTAATTAATCCTCAAAGCCACAACAGGTGGCTATAAAGCTCCATCATGATACTATAACCTTAGTAGGTACCTGCACCCTGTTCTCAATTATTTCCATGTGATGCTGCATCACTAGGACTTTAGTCATTCATTTCAAGGTGATCAGGCTATGTTCCTGATATGTGTAAGCCAAGGCAACAGAAGCAAAAGCTTAAGTAAAAGAAATCACCCTGCATGAGATGGGACTGACCAGGAGGGTTCTGGGTCAAGCTAAAATTGCTGCCTAGGGAAGTGTCCCTCTGCCTGTTCCTTCTTTCCACTGCATTCTCACAGCAGTCAACTCCAAACTAGAGTAAACTATGCAAACAGGAAACCAGACTTCCCCACAACTCCCTGCACCCACATATGCTGTGCGCTGCCAGCCTGCTTGCAGAATGCATACAGCAGCCTGATCTTTAGATGCAAGCCAGGAAGTGAAACACTCCCATGCACTTCAGAGACCTGCAGTTTTTCGGCACTTCTCTCAATGCATAGAATCATGTGCTTCATAAAATTCACTTCACCGCATACTTTATGAAACCCCCTCCTCTGCAAATCTGCCACACACTACCATGGAAGCCCCATGCAGTTCTAAAATAAGGGAACATCTTGTGCTGTGGCATAATTTGAGAGATTATCTGGATTAAGCAAAGACTGCCTGAATGCTGCTTTCACACAGATTGTCTGGGAAATATTAATATTGGCTTCCCAGTGAAGCCCTCATCTTTTAACAGTACAGGCCCGTGTTGCTAATCCTGGAGGATCTGAACTACTGAGGGATTCCAGTTCCAAATAGTTCAGGTACACACCTGATAGCCGGCTGCAGAACCACCCACAAGCTCCTAAGCAGCAAAGTGCAGCATTAGGCTATGTACTCAGGGAAACTCCTCTGTTCCTTTCTAGCCTTATAAGGCCCAAGAAGGACAAGCACATAGCAGCTAAATCAAGCCCAGGCAAGGGGCGAGAGTTCAACTTCAACTTCCCTTTTTTGGTGGATCAGCAAGAAAACTCACATTTGGTGTGCTGATGCAACATAGCATTTCTCAAAAGCCTGGACCATGAATAGAAGTAAGACTTCAACTTCAGCTCTCCCTGCAGCTGTTAAGGCTATACAGGCTCCTCAACAATTCTTGCAACTTGAAGTACCGTGGAAAAGTCTATCCTCAAGATTTTCCAGCACTGACAAAGCATTTCACCCCCAACTGCACCACAGAAAAGAATATACCTTTGGGCAGTAGCTAAAACTCTACCTCAGTTAAAAATAAGGGCATGGGGGGAGGGAGAGAAAGTTAGAGTGGAAAGCATAACATTACAACACTAACCACAATGCCATGCTAAAATTAAGTGCTAGGAGCTACCAGGAATGTAACATTAAATGTTGTGGTGATAAGTTTAAAATAAAGCAACAAACCAAAACACCTACCAATCCTAAGCACTCTCACATGTTAGAGAAATTCCAGCAGTGAAGGTCCCTCCTGCAGGGCTGGCTTGGCCACATTTTAAATCACCATAAAATTGCAGGCTGAGCAGTAATTATCCAGACACTAGTAGCAATATTGGATAAGATCACACTTTTAGATCTGCACTTGAAAACAGGACCAGAGTTCCTCTCCCCCCTCACCCCCACAAATTAAATATTTATACTCCATCTCTAAATTTGGCACAACCATTTCAGAGGACAAAGCAGTTCTCCATGTGATATTTTTAGAGAACTATTCACTAGTTTTCACACAGGACATGTTCCCAACTTGCCCTTTTTGTCCCCGTGGTCTCCTCCTTTGGGGTTTCTCCAGTCCCACAGCTCAAGTCCCTACCACCACTGAGCTTTATATACACACTGAGAATGAACACACCTGAACCTGAACATAATAACCAGCACAGTAGGATTGATACTCTTCTATATCATCAGCCAATGAATGCAACCACTCAGGCCCATCAACTATTTCCATTCTCCAAAGCAACTAGGATCAAACTGGCTCTGTAAGGCAGCTGCAATTCTTCATCTGGGCCTGGGCTTCACCCTTCTCCTGGGGTAGAGACATGGCAGACTACAGAAAGCACCTCAAAGCTAGTTTAGGAGAAATCTTATTCAAGGGCACATGCATAGCATAGGCCCAAGATTCAGCTACCAAGATAGAGGCTGAGAACTAACAGGAAAGCAAGCACAGAGCATGGCTGCTTTACAGAGAGCAGACTTGAGCAGACTCCTTGGACTCTCATTTCTACACCCTTATCTCCATTCCAGGTGGAACATGACCCTCAGGGGGTTATTTTACATTCATGGGAATGAGCAGGCAGATACAAACCATTAATTCTGCCTGGCACAGGAACTTGCTGGGACAAGCAGCACTCAAATGAAGGCCTCAACAAACCCACTCTGCAGTGGGCCCGTGACACCCAACAGCCGTGTTCTGACCAACTTCTGACAAAGGTTCATGCAAAAGAAGCTGACAGCAGGCCTGGCAACACTTCCAGCTACCACCTCTCCCTCTCCTCCCATTGATAGGAAAGGGACAAAGGAGGAAACATTGCAGGAGTCTCAGCCAAGTTCCAGATGCAAGTTTCCCCCTTCAGACAAGAGTTTGTCTGCTAGAAACAGAGTCTTGAAAGCTTAAGACAGGGGAAAAACAAACAAAAAATAAATAAAAAGAAGAAAGAAAAAAATCAGCATCTCTAAGGGCTCTGGGATATGACCATGCATCATATTTGCTATGTCAATGTTTACCAGCTGATTGTGGCAGGCACATTATGGGCAGGGAGGAAGGCTGTGCCTGGAGAGACTATGAGAAAAGCAGAAAGGGCAGAAACAGGACATGGGACTAGAGAAGACTAGAACATCTAGGCTCCAATTAGCCAGGAGGATGGCAGGCATTGACAGCCCTTACATACGTTCATCGCAACCCTAAAGCTCCCTGCAAGAAAAACACTTGGAGTCAAGGTTCCTAGATACCTCAAGGCTGAGGAATGAATAAACCACTACTCAGCGCCTCATCTCTGCTCTTCTCCCATCCAAATACCTCTCCCATGCCCACCACCTCCCCATCTGTATCATTAATTTGAACCAAAACAATACTAACAGCCAAGGCAAGTTTCACTTCTTTAATTGCCACAGACCTTCACTAGCACAGATCATCCACACACAGCTTTCCTGCAGCTGCCAAACAGCTCACAGCCACCTTCTTCAGTTCAACTCCACCCATCATTTTGCCTTAAGCCCCAATATAAAACCACAATACAATGCCTGGATGCTGTGGCCTTGAAAAAGTATTTAAGTCACAGAAACATGTAACCAAAGCTGGCCATGCTCACAGGAGCCTGCAGGTTCCTGACTGGGAATGTGGGTAGCAGAAAGGACCTAAAGCCAATGAGAAGAATAGCTGGGGGCTGAAAAATGCAAGCAGCAGTTTCTTTGCCCTTTAAGATGCACTTGGGTAGGCTCTGAAGTTTAGTCATCTCATGGGGGAAACAGGCCAAACAGAGAAGGCTGCATAAAGCCAGGAACAGAAGAAATTTTGTATCAACAGCAAGCAATCTACTACTGGATCCTGACTTACCCCCTTGGCTGTGCTAGACTTACACTGCATTTATACAACCTCCAGGATCGCTCAAATACAGCAGGATTTAAACAAACACTTAAGAAACAGGGTATAGGGGAGAAGAGGGGGGTTCTTGGTTTTAAAACTTCTTAGGAAAAGAACTGCAAAAGCCATGAGGGGGGAAAAGGCAGACTACATTAGCCTCCTTTCTGAGTGCAATGGAAATGTGTACTCATTTTACATGCGACACAACAGCATTGGCTTATTCACAGTTTCCCAGCTGTGCACAAGATGCAGCAGGTACCATTTCTTTGCTCACTGAGAAGTGGGAAACAGACCTCCATTTTATAGCCTCTGGCCCAGTTGGGGCCTCCTCTCTGCTGCCTCACCGCATCCGAGGCAGCAGTGAGGGACTGAAACCTCACAAGATAGCGAGCTCCCTTGGGCAGCAGCTGCTGATGAGAAAGCAGAAGCTCCCCTTCCAGACATGGGATGCTAGGGGCCAGCCTGGGATCCCAACACGCTATGGGCACTGTCCTGGGAAAGCAATGCCAAGGGCCAGTCTGGGATCCCAAGGTGCTACCCACACTGCCCAGGGAAAAGGGTGCCAAAGACCAGTCTGGGATCCCAAGGCATTATGGGCACTGCCCACAGAAAGCGATGCCAAGGGCTGGCCTGAGGTCCCACAGTGCTACCTGTGCTGCCCAGGGAAAGTGATGCCAAGGGCTGGCCTGGGGTCCCACAGTACTACCTGTGCTGCCCGGGGAAAGCGATGCCAAAGGCCAGTCTAGGATCCCAAGGCGCTATGGGCGCTGCCCCAGGGAAAGCGATGCCAAGGGCTGGCCTGGGGTCCCACGGCACTACGGGCGCTGCCTTCCCCCTTGCACGTGCAGGGCAGGGCAGGGCAGGATCCCCCTTTCCTTGGAGGGCCGCCCCGGTCCCGCGCGCACTCACCTCCGGTGCCGGCCACCCGCAGGTCATTGCTGTTGCCTTCGTAGGTGAACAAAGCCCTGAAACAAGCAGCACGTGGAGACAGCTCAGCCAGGAGGGCATCCTGGGCGGACCTGCAGCCCGGGGCTGGAGCC